CAGGGTTTTTCAGAACTTTCCTGGGATTTTGGCTGGGTTTTGAGGGTCCGCCGGGTTTAGGGTTTAGGGTTTTTGGGTTTGGGGAGGATTTTACCTCAATACCCTAAAGGTCCATGTACCTTATCATTATATACTTGGGCCCCAAAGTCCCTATAGAGGAAGTACTTTAAGGCCCAAGTATTCCATATTTGGGTACCTGGACCCTTACCCTAAACCCTAAACCCTACACCCTAAACCCTAAACCCTAAACCCTAAGCCCTAAACCCTAAGCCCTAAACCCTAAACCCTTAAACCTAAACCCTAAACCCTAGACCCCTTAAGGGCCTTGCGGGGTTTTTGGGGGCTCACCAAGCTTACACCTGATAAGGTTGTCCGAGTTTGGGGTCTGAGGACTGCCGGGTTTAGGGTTCAGGGGTAGGTTTAGGGTTTAGGGTTTAGGGTTTAGGGTTTAGGGTTTAGGGTTTAGGGTTTAGGGTTTAGGGTTTAGGGTTTAGGGTTTAGGGTTTAGGGTTTGGTTTAGGGTTTAGGGTTTGGGGTTTGGGGTTTGGGGTTTGGGGTCTGGGGTTCAGACTTGTTTGCTAAACACACTTGGGACATGAACGGCCGGCTCAGTGAACGTGCTTCGGGCGCGCCAACGCTGTTGTTTTCAGAGCCCGAAGCCCAACTCTCTAAGTCAATGAACCCTAAACCCTAAACCCTATAACTTAGAAAGGGTGTTACTTGTCATTGAAAAAACAAAGAGACGCAGGATATCACAGGGGTCCTAGCCCGGAACCCTAGTGGTAGAACCCCAAGGGCCTAGTCCCTAAACTTTTCCACCCCAACCCACAAACCTTAAACCTTAACCGTAACGTTAACATTGAACCCCAAACCCTAAAACCTTCAAACCCTAAAAGCCGTAAACAGTAAACACCCTAAATCCCAAAAAACCATGAACCCCTAAAGAAACTATCTGAGCCCTAAACCCTGAACCCTGAACCCTAAACCCATGAGCCCCAAGCACGAGACCACAACACTTGTGAACCTTAAACCCTAAACCCTAAACCCTGAACCCTAAACCCTAAAACCCTAAAACCCTAAACCCTAAAACGCTAAAACCCTCAACACTTCAAGGGCCGGGCTGGGCGAAACCCGCTTTGTTGCCTGAGGCCCAGGAGCACCTCACGCGAATCTTGCCGGGTTTAGGGTTTAGGGCTTAAGGTTTAGGGTTTAGGGTTTAGGGTTTAGGGTTTAGGCTTGGCTTTCTTAAAACTTTAAAATTGGGATTTTCACCGTTATACTAACAGTCAGTCCTTAATCGGGGGTACTCTAATCCCTATTAAAGACTGTCGGTATAAGGGGGAACATCCCAACTTAAAACCCTCTGAAGAAGAGTCCGGAAGATGATCCTCTTGAACCCAATAAAGGGAAAATGTCCCAAGGCCTTCCTAGCTTTAGTGACTAGGGCTTTTTTAATAATCCGAGGATCTGATAAAAAAAACTGATAAAAAAAAAAAACACACACACACATTTTTGGCCCGAACTCTCCGGGAAGACTGCTTTCCATTACAGGAGCCAAGCCCCCCGAACATGCGCAACCAAAACAAAAACACCTAAGATTTATAGAAACAAAGCCCAGGGGCTCCAGCAAGTGGAACCCTAAGGGTCCATGTACCTTATTATTATATACCTGGGCCTTAAAGTACTTCCCATATAAGAACTGTGGGGCCCAAGTATATAATAATGAGGTTCATGGACCCTTAGGGGAAGTGCTGAAGGCTACATGGAATAATGAAGCACCCCCCCCCCCCCCCTCTCCCCTGATGGAGATCGGCGGCTCCACGAGATGAGGATAAGCAGGGACATTTTGAATTGCTTGGTTTAGGGTTTAGGGTTTAGGGTGTAGGGTTTAGGGTTTAGGGTTTAGGGTTTAGGGTTTAGGGTTTAGGGTTTCGGGTTTAGGGTTTAGGGTCCGCCGACCCTGGCGGATGGGACCCTTCCCCCCCCTACCCCCCCCCCCCCCCTACCCCCCCCCTACCCCCCCGATGTCCGGACAATCCGGGCCTGTCTAGGCGTTTTGCGCCTGAGCCCTGACAGACCCCCCCCCCCTACCCCCCCTCAACCCACCCTACCCCCCCCCCACCCCCCCCCCCTACCCCCCTACCCCCCCAACCCCCTACCCCCCCCCTACCCAATTCATGGGGCTGCCCTGGCCTTCAAGCTGGCTTCAGCTCCTGTTTGGGTCCCAACGTTTCACAGAGGCTCAAGCACATCAACTTTTTGGGCATCCTTTGAGCTGACGAGCGCGTTTAAACCTTTCAACTATGCTCCAGCGGGGTCGGCGGCTTGAGCCGGAGGCTCTTAAATTTAGGGTTTAGGGTTAAGTAAACCGCAGGATCCATGTACCTCAATAGGGATTACTTGGGCCTTTAAGTACTTCCTATATAGGGACTTGGGGGCCCATGTATATAATCATGAGGTGCTTTTGAATTGCTTGAGGCTTAACTTGGCTGCACTCAGGAGGGTAGCTATAAATTAAACTTTTAGCTGCGTTATTAAGAAAACCAATGAACCCCAAAAGGGTAAGGATCTAAAGTTAGGGTAAAGTACCACAAAGTTAAGTAAGCAAATGCCCCCACGTGCTCTCGGATTGTTTGGAGTTGGAGGCTGCAGCAGAACACTGCGATTCCTCGCATCCAGGATCGATGCCCGAATCGTTCGCTCCTGACCTACCCCTTACGGGGACTTTCCGCCCACCTCTCGCCCAACCCCCAAACAAACCAGCCCAGGAAATAACCCCAAACCCTAAAGGCGACCCCTGTCGGGCAGGGGGAGGGGGGTGGCCCCCCCCCCCCCCCCCCCCCCCCCCCCCCCCCCCCCTTTTCATCAGATCCTCGGACTAAGGTTTAGGGATTAGGATCAGTGCTAGAGCTTCGGGTGTCGAATTAAGGTTTTGGTGTAGGGTTGGGCTTTAGGATTGTTGGGTTTTGGGTGGTTTGCGCGCCAAAGCAGCCCTGTTGCTATTTTGTTCAGCATGCACCCAGTCACCCACTCACTGGCGGGAGGGCCCCTTCCAGGCAGGTGCATGGGCGCTTTCGTATTTGCTTCGGCACGTGACTGGCCGAGCAAAAACAGAAGAAAACAAACAGAGAGATGGCTGAGCAACAGACACACACAGTCCGACTTGTTAAAGGTTCAACAGAACCCTGCACCCAAAAGCATAACAAGTCAATGCCCGCGCCAACCACCAGGAGCGACTGCCCAATGTCGACGAGGCGCATGAAGAAGTACAGGAGCGCCCCAACTAAACCTTAAGGCAAGGGGTTTAGGGTTTAGGGTTTAGGGTTTAGGGTTTAGGGTTTAGGGTTTAGGGTTTAGGGTTTAGGGTTTAGGGTTTAGGGTTTAGGGCCAGGTGAAAGATTCACATGCTGGAGAACTGTAAGGTGCAGGCTTGAGATGTTAGGACTTGAGGTCTTCGTGCCTCAATGGGTATTTTGGTGCACTGCTTCTGTAAACTTCTAGGACGGTACCGGCAAAAGTAGGCTTCCAGAGCTGCCTGGCGTCGTAGGGTTTGGGGTTCAGGGTTTAGGGTTTAGGGTTCAGGGTTTAGGGTTTAGGGTTTAGGGTCTAGGGTTTAGGGTTTAGGGTTTAGGGTTTAGGCCAAAGTTTAGGCCACTGTGTGTACAAGCCGTATACATGTGTGGACCATAATGCATCGCTGCAAGTAATTACACAGAGCTGGCAACCCGCACGGCTTCACGACTTTCTAAAGGGATACCTGTAAGACCACGCCAGCCCTACCAAACGCCCCTAAACCCTGAACCCTAAACCCGAAACCGAAACCCTAAACCCTAAACCCTAAACCCTCAACCCTCAACCCTCAACCCTCAACCCTAAACCCTAAACCCTAAACTCAAACTGACAGTGGTAGCCTCTACACCCGAAGACAGATGCTGCCATGGCCTGCAAGCAACTTACTGGCGATTAGTAGGGAATGAGGGACTGTGTAGTACCCTGTATCCTACTATACCAGGGTTTCGGGTTTAGGGTTTAGGCTTTGGGGTTTAGGGTCCCCAAAGGGTCCATGTGCCTAAGTAGACACTTGGGCCTTAAAGTACTCCTATGTAGGGACTTTGGGGCCCAAGTAAATAATAATACATGGACCCTTAGGGATATATACCCTTCAATGCATTCTACAGGGTCCGTATGGGGGGTTAAGGGATTCTACAGGGTCCCTATAAGGGTATGTCCTCCTATACATGTCCTTTAAGAGATGACGTAGGGTACCTAGTTCCCCCATTCCCTACTAAGAGCCTGCCGGAGCTTTTTGTTCAGCATTTGCTCGTCAGTACCAGTACCTTACAGCATTGTCACCACTTTTGGGGTGTTCAGCAGCCCTGCTGGGTGTGAAAGCATGTAGCGCCCGCCAAAACATCCTTGTGCTCGAGTGAAACCAGTGGACGTCTTGCAGCCAAGACACATTCCAGAACCTACTTGAGCCTGGACCCTAAACCCGAAACCCTAAACCCCAAACCCTGAACCCCCCTGGCAAAATTGTAGGTTCTGGATAGTGGAGGACAAATCGAGTAAGTTCAGCCGCCTGATCGCCGATATCGATGGAAGCTAAGGCACAACTACACCTCAACGGCCATTGGCGGCATCTGAAAGTCTGCACGGCTGCCAAAAACTCTGCAGTACCAACCACAACTGTACTAGAAGTACTGTAGACTCTATATATGTATAAATAAATAAATATATATATATATGTATATATATGTAAAAGCCTGTATACATAGGTATAATATATGAACCCTAACTTAGAGCAGTTAGCCGTGACTGATTCTCATTCAAGTGGCCCTGTGACACTGTGGCGGGGGCGTTCCCGGCTTTTCACTCGCGAAACCCCCATCGCACGTGCACACGGGAAATGAAAAGCATCCGGCAGGCATTTCCAATACCCATGCTTGAGTGCAACCGAAAAAAAGCGCAATCATGAGAATATTATAGCGCGAAAAGCGTACTCAAAAAGATTCTGAAACCATCTCGCCTTCCACAAACTCTGCCACCTCCTGGACAAGCTTGCTGCGTGCGTCTCCCTCATCCTTCAAGGCCTTGGCAGCCCAGAAGCCCATATTCGAATAAGGGTACCCTATTGGCTACTTTCTAAGGGAACCTTTGGACCAAAAGGAAGGGAAAAGGGTACCCACTGGGCTATCCTAAACCCTAAACCCTAAACCCGAAACCCGAAACCCGAAATCCGAAACCCGAAACCCTAAACCCTAAACCCTAAACTAAACCCACCAAGGGACATGCACAATGTAGGAGGGAGTCGCGGACTCCATGGCCAGGTCCACTGCCGTCTTCCCGCGTGCGTTCTGCAGGTCCGTGCGCGCCCCGACTCCCAGCAGAACCGCCGTGGCTTCCTTGGGTTTAGGGTTTAGGGTTTAGGGTTTAGGGTTTAGGGTTTAGGGTTTAGGGTTTAGGGTTTAGGGTGTCGGGTTTAGGGTTTGGAGTTTAGAGCTTGGGATTTAGGGTTCAGACCCTCTGCAAACACTCCTAAACAGGATCCTCGCGCACTCAACGGGCTGAAACTGCGAAATGCTCCCCGGGCCGACCTAAACCTTAAACCGAAGCAGCAAAAGCGCAAATGTGACGTCTGCCAAGCTCCCAAGGACATCAACCCTAAACCCTAAACCCTAAACCCTAAACCCTAAACCCTAAACCGGGCTTCAAAGGAGTTCGTGAGGATGCTGCACATCAGGGGCGTCATGCCCTCATAGTGGCAAGCATAGGCGCTCAACCTAGGTTGACTCCTCTGATCCTTCAAAAAAAGGCCGAAATAGGGTTTAGGGTTTAGGGTTTAGGGTTTATACGGGTTATCAGGGTTTAAATCCTGTGAAACCATGCCCCTGAACCGGATCCTCCTCAACCGACGAGGGTGAAATACCCCAAAATGCCCTAACCCCTAGCCCCCCTAACCCCTAAACCCTAACCCTAACCCCTAACCTCTAACCCCTAACCCCGAACTCTTAACCCCTAAACCCTAAACCCTAATCCCTAAACCCTAAACCCAAGGGACTTGGACTCACTGAAGTGATGCCGAATGTTCAGGCAGCCGAGCCAGATACCGAGCGGACCTCTTGAGCCAAAGGTTTAGGGTTTAGGGTTTCAGGTTGAGGGGGTGTAGGTGTTTCGGGGTTGAGGTTTTAGGGAGGGTTTGGGGAATTGTCGGGTTCTTCCAGCAGAACAATGGCCACTTTCTGATATCTACCCTCAACTAGAACCCCGTAAAAATCCCCCCCGCATGTCGCTTTGCTCGATGGGAAAGAGCAAAGAATTACGAATGTTCTGATTAGAGTCTGCAACTCAAAGTAACTATAATACTAGGATGGCCCCTTAAAACCCTCTGAAGAATATTCCTGGATATGATCCTCTTGAACCCAAAAAGGGAAAATGTACAATGTTCCAAGGGTTTACCTAGAATGCTGCACCCCGGACTCAAGCCGATAAGCCTAAAATCCTAAGCCCAAAGCCCCAACACGGAACCCTAAGCTCTATTTTCAACTGTGAACTCTAGATTTGAAACCCCAAATCCTGAACCCTGAACCCTGAACCCTAAACCCTAAACCCTAACCCCTAAACCCTACCCTAAGCCCACCCCATTGGCAAAGGCACTGAGCAGCGGCGTGGAGCTCTGATGGTTCACATCGGCAGCGAGAGAGATCAATGTCGACACTACCTGGGCCGAACCTGGTCAGGGTTTAGGGTTTAGGGTTTAGGGTTCAGGGTTCAGGGTTCAGGGTTTAGGGTTTGAGTTTCGGGTTTAGGGCTAAGTCCGGCAAAAACAAGCCGCAAACCAGATCGATGGCGGGGGGTGATGGAATGCTGTCCACCCACCCCTAACACTAAACCCCAAACCCCAAACCCAAACCCTAAACCCTAAACTCTAAAGCCCTAAAGCCCTAAACCCTAAACCCTAAAGCCCTAAAGCCCATAAAGCCCCAAAACAGCCTAAAGCCTAAAGCCTAAAGCCTAAAGCCTAAAGCCTAAAGCCTAAAGCCTAAAGCCTAAACCCTAAAGCCTAAACCCTGAACCCTAATTCCTAAACCCTAAACTCTAACCCTAACAGCCCCTCTTGCCTCGAAACTCGAGACACCCCTCAAGACGGCGTACTAAAACCCATCGTCTCAAAGCAGCCTCCTCCCTGTAGCATTGCCACGTTCAGCGTCTTGTCCATCTCTTCCCTAGAGGGGGACTCGAAAAGCTTGGCAATTGTGGGTTTAGGGTTTAGGGTTTAGGGTTTAGGGTTCAGGGTGATCAGAGCCCCAGGGGACAAGGCCTCGGGTTTGCGGTTCAGGGCTTCAGGCGTCCACTTCTCCCATCTCCTGCCTTGGGGTGTAAGGCAAAAGCGCACTCATTGAGGCGAGTGAGCCTGCAGGGTTTAGGGTTTAGGGTTTAGGGTTTAGGGTTTAGGGTTTAGGGTTTAGGGTTTAGGGTTTAGGGTTTAGGGTTTAGGGTTTAGGGTTTAGGGTTTAGGGTTTAGGGTTTAGGGTTTAGGGTTAGGGTTTAGGGTTTAGGGCTTAGGGTTTTTATGCGTGTGAGCCTGCCGAGCTTGCCAAGGTGAAGGGCGCATACCCAAGCATGTCCACCTGTCCTGTCATGGGCTTCCCTACTACCCCCCTCTATGCTCCCCCCTAGGTGCCCCTACCACCCCCCTCTATACCTGGTTTAGGGTTTCGGGTTCAGGGTTTGATTCCCCCCTTAAATGACCTTAATTTGGCCCTAAAAAGCCTTAATTATGGGGGAACCTAGGGGGGGGGGGGGTAGTATAGACGGGGGTAGTAGGGGAACCCCCGATCCTGGGTCGGTTCCGGCAGCGATCAGAGACTGGAGGCCCTCCACGTTGTCAGAAAATGCAGCCCAGGGCAGGGCAGTTGCCCCAAAACCGTCTCCTGGGATATGGTTCCCTAAACCCTAAACCCTAGACCCTAAACCCTAAAGTTTATGGCGCACGAATAAAAGAGACCTGTCTGTACTATGTGACGTCCCTGGAGCATTCAGAATTTGTTTGTCTCGAACTCTCGAAAAAATACTTTCGACACTTTCCGAACATTCAATACTTTCGAAAGCTTCGAAAGTCTCCAAAAACATGGAAATCGCCACGCATTTGAAGGTGTCAAAGGTGTTGGAAAGTCTGGAGTTTTGTGAAAGTTTCGAAAGTTTGAAACATCTTTTTAGGCCCTGAAATGATCCATGAAGCGTGTTGGCAGGGACCAAACTTTTCCACAAATACCCCTCGAATTTTGCGGAAAACGTTTGCACACCAACTATGTTTTGCATTTTTTTCTTTAAATGTTCACGGTTTTGTGAACTGTGCGATCCAATTTCGTCGAAAAGGTTGGTCAGGCAAACAAACTTCTTGCCGAGAATCACCCCTGCGTAGTTATGAACAACATGAAGTCTCATCGAATCTCGTGGACAAAGTTGGCCACGGCAACTTTTATAGGGTTGTTAAGGGACCAGGGTTCATGGGGGGTAGGTACCTGGAGAACCTTAGGGAAGCTTAGGGAGCCAGGGAGTAGTGGGGAGTATTAGGGAACCTTGGGTTACTTAACCCCTTGAAACCCCCCTCCTTTACCCTATAACACTTTCTCCAAGACCTCCACGGCTGTGTTGAACCATGAGACCCGGATTTCGTGGAAACAGTTGGGGGGGCCAACTTTTTGCCACCAAACCACCCAAGCACAGTTATAAAATTCGTGTAGATGTTGGATACTGTTGGCAGGGCAAACTTTGCCCACGTACGAATACCCTTTTGAATGTCGCGGACTTTCCACGGAATCGCTCACGGGCAAAAGCACCGTGGCAAATTTGGAAAAGTTGGCAGGGCCAACTATGTACATGCGCATGAATATGTCTGTTTGTGTCTATACATGCTATTAAACTGATGAAAATAGAGGTAGATGGTGGACCAACAGAAGCGAAAAGGTACTGCTGGGGAGCCAAGTCTCTTGCGTGCACATCAGCGCGCCTCTGAATCAGTAGGTTGACTGCATCGTTGTGCGACAGGAACGCGCAAATGTGGAGAAGAGGACACTGACCGAAGGGCACGGAGGATTGCTGCGTGACCCGATCATTTACATCCGCGTTGCGGTCCTCAAGGGGTAAACGCCCCTGTACTAAAAAACCTCTAAGTAACCCTAAGGTCCCTCCTTTAGTCCCTTGAGGTCCAGAAGCGCGGCAATGAGTAGGGGCCTCCCATCTAAGGCCGCGAAGCAGATCGGGGACCAGCCGTCTGAGTCCCTGTCACTGATGGATTCCTTAGTAGCCCAGAAACCATACTCCAATAAGGCAACCCTTTGTTGGTTGGCTACCTTAAAGGGAACCTTCAACCAAAAAAAAGGGTAAAGGGAACCACTGGGTTACCCTAAACCCGAAACCCGAAAACGAGTTAAACCCTAAACCCTAAACCCTAAGCTAAACCCACCAAGATTCAAAGCCATTCTGGTGCATGAAATTCTGGACGGTAACCACTCCTGGGTCCGGCGAGTTGGACACAAAGCCTGGGATAAAGTCGTCCATAGGAGCCACACGGAGATTTCGGTAGTAGACGTTCTGCAAGTTGAGCATCATCCGATAGCTGTTGAAATCTTCGCGCTGTAAGAACGAATGTAGCTTCTTCTTCACCATGTCCTGGAACCCTAAACCCTAAACCCTAAACCCTAAACCCTAAACCCTAAACCCTAAACCCTAAACCCTAAACCCTAAACCCTAAACCCTAAACCCTAAACCCTGAACCCTAACCCTAAACCCTAAACCCTAATACACCCAGTATCCCTAAGGTCCCTAGCTTCCCTGAGCTTCCCTTAGGTGCCCTTGGTATCTACCTCCCTGGAAACCCCCCCCCCCCTCCCATAAGAACCCTGCAGGTTTAAGGGTTTAGGGTTTAGGGTTTAGGGTTTAGGGTTTAGGGTTTAGGGTTTAGGGTTTAGGGTCAAGGGTTTATAAGTTGCTGTTCCGCGTTTGGAGTGGTCAGATAGGATCCTCCTCAACCAATACAGAAATATCAGCTATCCCCAGGGGCTACTTACATGACCTCAACCCTAAACACCTTGGCGTTCAAGGTTTAGGGCTAACCCCTCCCCATAGCCGAAAAAATGTCCTGCACGACGAGGGCAATCCTTCCGCGGTCCTGCTCCCGGCCGAAGTTGCCTTCGCCGACAGGCTTCTGCATCCAACCTTTGGTTGAGGGCTGTGGCTTACTCAAGGGTTTAGGGTCTAGGGTCTAGGGTCTAGGGTCTAGGGTCTAGGGTTTAGGGTCTAGGGTTTAGGGTGACATTTGCGTGGTTGAGGGCTGTGGCCTACTTGGAAAGGGTTTAGGGTTTAGGCGGTTTAGGGTTTGTTGATTAGGGAAAGGAGCTTAGGCGTTCAGGCAGTTTAGATGTTTGGGGTGCTTGCATCTGGGCATTGAGGGCCATTCGGGTTTAGGCACTTTAACGTGGTTGACTTAGTCAAGGGGTTTAGGATTTCATCAGGGTGGCGCTGTATGGCTGATGTAGTCCAGGGTGTGGGGCTTAGAGGCTTAGAGCATAAAAGGTCGAGGGTTCGGGATATGTCCACCGTAAGGACCACATGAACCCTAAAATTGGGGTCTATACTTCTGCAACCCCTAGTAGAGGATATGAACCATAAACCCATTTAGGGCTCATTAAGTCCTTCAGGCAAGAAGCCATAGGTTGGAGCCTCTACCAGGTGCGTAGACCCGTGCATCTCGATGGAGCTGAGGCTGCCTTCACGGCGGTTTAGGGTTTAGGGTTTATAGGGTTGAGGGTTTAGGGTTTAGGGTTTGGGGTTTTGGCTGCCTTCTCTTGTGCTGAGTTCGCGGGCGAGCTGTTCCAAGCGGCACCAACCACGACTGGACCAGCTCCTCCGAAAGAGTGTGTGGACATACTGTATGCAACTTTAACAAACTGTCTGCACGGAAAATGTTTACATCTACTTCTGTGAATTTGTGCAGATTTGTACATATATATATATACGTACGGCCAAACCCCCGTGCCTTTTTGTTGTTTATCGTTATCGTTCTCTTGTTTTTGCGAGATTCCCCAAGAAGAAGACCGTCGGGTTCTCAATTCTTTCGAAGGATAATCGAGAAAGGTTGGTCGAGTAAAACCTGCAGGGTTTCCAGTTTCCAGTGGTTTGTGTCTCTCCTGGTCTCCCTTCATGTTTGATGGGTCTGCCATGTTCGGTGGCCTGTGTCTCCCCTTGTCTTCGCTAGTGTCCGTTTCTGTTGCCTTATGGCCTCATTCGAACGAGGGATACACAGAAACACACAGAAACACACACACAAACAACAAACAAACAAACAAACACACACACACACACACACACACATCCACGCACACACACACACACACATCCACCCATCCACCCATCCACCCATCCACTCATCCACCCATCCACCCATCCACCCATCCACCCATCCACCCATCCACCCATCCACCCATCCACCCATCCACCCATCCCCCCATCCACCCATCCACGCATCCACGCATCCACGCATCCACGCACGCACGCGCCACGCGCACGCGCACGCGCACGCGCACGCGCACGCGCACGCGCACGCGCACGCCCACGCCCACGCCCACGCCCACGCCCACGCACACGCACACGCACACCCACACACACACACACACACACACACACACACACACACACACACACACACACACACACACACACACACACACACACACCCGCGCACGCACGCACGCGCGCGCACGCGCGCACGCGCGCGCGCGGCACGCGCGCGTGCGCGCGCCAGCGCGCGTGCGCGTGTGCGTGTGCGTGCGCGCGTGCGTGTGCGTGTGCGCACACGCGCACACGCGCAAACGCGCACACGCGCACACGCGCACACGCGCACACGCGCACACGCGCACACGCGCACACGCGCACACGCGCACACGCGCACACGCGCACACGCGCACACGCGCACACGCGCACACGCGCACACGCGCACACGCGCACACCCGCACACGCGCACACGCGCACACGCACACACGCACACACGCACACACGCACACACGCACACACGCACACACGCACACACGCACACACCCACACACCCACACACCCACACACCCACACACACACACACACACACACACCCACACACACACACACACACACACGCACATCCCTCGAAGGACACGTATCCTCTGCATCCAAACGTTGCCGATTTCTACTGTTGCAATAATCGAACGCGAACCTTTGTACGATGGAACGCATAGGGGCACACACTCCTTGTGGTAGCTGAACAATTTCCGTGCCAAAAAGATGCCGTAAAACTCCCCACAGAAATGCATGACTGAGATAGCACCTACGAATACTGTGTGAAATACCCGAAACTTCCAGGAAGTAGCCTCGCCCAGATGCAATTCAAGACAAAAGCTTTTCACCTGGGGGGCTTCCCAATAAAGAGCACTGTTGTAAGCGTTTGTTGTGTCTTGTTGTTATCAATCCGATGCCTTGCCCCCTCCTCCCTACGAACAACTCATTGAAGTATACAGTCAATCTGCAGCGTGACAAGGCACAACACTCAGCGTCATGAAAAAAGGTACATTGTAGATCCCTGTGGAAGACACACATGATTGCATCTTTCCTTCGAAAAGGCATGTACCCACACACGGTAAAGAAAAGATCAGAAAACAGGTGTTCGGCAAAGGTTTAGGCCCTGAACCCTACAACCCTAAATCCTAAACCCTACACCCTAAACCCCAATCCCTAACACCTTCAGCAACATTCCCCCACCCCCCTTCCCTCCTCTTGTTCAGCAGGAGGTTGGTCTGGGTGTGGCGGACATGCGGACAAAGGATGATGAAGAACTGGCCTCGGCGATGCGGATTGTGACACCCTAAACCCTAAACCCTAAACCCTGGTTCCGAAAGGCTCCTGGTGCTTCGGTTAGGGAGTTGGGATACGGGGTTTACCGGCATACCTGAAGAGCCCCAAAACCTACTATTTGGGATTCTCCTAACCCTAAGCACGTCTAAAAACAGCCACCAGCAGGTGGGTGTGTTGGGGCGACCTGTCCTTGAGGTCGTCAAGCTTTCTGCGCCGTGCTTTCCGCGCATCACAAGAGCCCAAAGGCGTCCTATAGGGAAGAATAAAGGTTTAGGGTTTAGGGTTTAGGGTTTAGGGTTTAGGGTTTAGGGTTTAGGGTTTAGGGTTTGGGGTTTAGGGTTTAGGGAAGCCCAGAGCCCAGGGCTGCTCATGGAGCAACGGCTCCCTTTTGTGCAAGTTTTTTCCAGGCGGCAGGGTTTAGGGTTTAGGGTTAGGGTTTAGGGTTTAGGGTTTAGGGTTTAGGTTTTAGGGTAAGTCCGCATCCAGACTCAATGATGATGCTGGCCGTCAACACTTCCGCGTCCTAAAGCCTGATTCAGCTATGAGCTTTCAAGTGCTACTGCTGAAAACTCTAGACTTTATCTCGATATGCTGGCATATATACAAATCGTTTATGCAAAACTGGTTTAGGGCTTGTCGGATGAGAATTCTGGCATGAATCAATAATGATTTTAACATTGGGGGGAAGGGATGAAGGATGAGGGATCCCAAACCCTACACAAAGGTTCATGGCCATGACAATAGAAACTACATGTTTATGACAGTCTGACAGTAGTTTCTCTACGTTAACCCCCCAGTTGGAACTACACCCCTACACCCCCTAAACGCTAAACCCTGACCGCCAAGAAGGTCACCCTCAACCCTAAACCCAAAACCCAAAACCCTAACACCTAAAGGGCCTAGGGTCTAAAGCCTAAAGCCTAAAGCCTAAAGCCTAAAGCCTAAAGCCTAAAGCCTAAAGCCTAAAGCCTAAAGCCTAAAGCCTAAAGCCTAAAGCCTAAAGCCTAAAGCCTAAAGCCTAAAGCATACAGCCTACAGCCTACAGCCTACAGCCTAAAACCCATACACATCCCGAGCCCCGCTACCCAGACGCACGGCAGTCAGGGGGCTCTAACTCGGACACCTTAGGTGGTACCTTGGGATTTGGGGACCCTTTTCTAATTTCCTTGAGGTGATCTGTGGGCCGGATTAGGAGTACATTCGGGTGACCCTTTAGGGTACCTCTCAGAACCCTAAACCGCTAAACCCCTGAACCCTGAAACCCTAAATAGGGGATCCTAAGTAGGCGCCCTTGATTTGGGTCCCCTGTTATAAAAGCCTTGCATACACTATGCATAATCAGGGACCATACTAAGGGCCCATGGTGACAACCCTAGACTAAGATCGAAGCCGTGTAAAATCCTACTTATAGGGGTACGAGTCGAGTCCCTGGCCCTAAACCGTAAGCCGTAAACTGTAAACTGTACACCGTAAACCGTAAACCCTAAACCCTAAACCCTAAACCCTAAACTTAATCCCTTGAAGCAATGAAGACAGGCGGCATCTATCCACGTAGCCTGGGATGCTGTTGACAGCCATCCTCAAGTTCAAGCAAGTCTTCGTCTTTAGGGTTTAGGGGTTTAGGGGTTTAGGGGTTTAGGGGTTTAGGGGTTTAGGGGTTTAGGGGTTTAGGGGTTTAGGGGTTTAGGGGTTTAGGGGTTTAGGGGTTTAGGGGTTTAGGGGTTTAGGGGTTTAGGGTTTTGGTTGGGGTCTCAGGAACAAGGTTTTTGGTTGGGGTCTCAGGAACAAGGGTTTGGCTAATGATACTTTTTTTTTTGCGACGACTTCATTGCATTTTGTGGGTACTTGGGATCCTCCTGAACCAAGGGCTTCCCACGTTGGTCTAAATTGCTAAGGGTCCATGTACCTAAATACGGAATACTTGGGCCTTAAAGTACTTCCTATATAGTGACCTTGGGGCCCAAGTAGAATATGAAATCAGGTACATGGACCCTTAGGGAAGGTTCCTCTGCAGTTTATGATGGAGGCTTGATTCTGAGGGTAGTCACATGGTCCCTTAGTACGGGCCTAGAATAGGGGACCCCTTACATACCCCTGACGTACCCTACACAACAAAAAGGGTCCATAGTTCAGAACCCTGTAGAGGAGGTAAGGGAAGTTCAGGACCCATAGAACTACCCTTAAATTTGACTTTCGCCCCCATGTTTCCCCCTAAGGCTTTTCTTTGGAAGCGTCCCGCACAGCCTTCGGGAGGCTACACCCTAAACCCTAAACCCTAAACCCTAAACCCTAAACCCTAAACCCTAAACCCTAAACCCTAAACCCTAAACCCTAAACCCTAAACCCTAAACCCTAAACCCTAAACCCTAAACCCTAAACCCTAAACCCTAACCCTAAACCCTAAACCCTAAACCATTCAAGACTTCAGTCGTTCCTCAAAGACCTTACTTGGGAGCCATATCCCGCACACCCTCAATAACGCCCAACCTTGTGAACCAAATGAACCCTAAAAGGGTTTTAAGGTGAAGCGTTAAGGGTTCCCTAAACCCTAAACCCTAAACCCTAAACCCTAAACCCTAAACCCTAAACCCTAAACCCTAAACCCTAAACCCTAAACCCTAAACCCTAAACCCTAAACCGTATATGAAGCCTACTAGGGATTATAGTAGTATAGGGGAACATATAGGGATCAATTTAGGGGTTCACTTGGCCCCCAAGGAGTTCGGAACCCGAACCCTTAAAGTAGGGCAACCAGGCCACTGGCGCATCGCCACAGCGGTGGCACTGTGATGCTGCGGGATGCAAAAATAGTCCTTGGTAGCCCATATTATGATCAGGGCACCCTTTTTGGGTTGGCTAATTTCTGAGGAAACCACAAACAAAAAAAGGGTAAAGGTTACCACTGGGCAACCAAGGGTCGTACCAAATGAACAGCGAGCTGGCAAATATCTCCTTTGCCGACACGGTGTTCTGTTGTCCTCGGTACCTTGATTGACTTGAAGATCCTAAACCCTAAACCCTAAACCCTAAACCCCTGAACCCCTGATCCCAAATTACGCAGCGAGCTCTCATGTTCCGAAGTCTGGGCCACTCTGATTTGTCTCTTTAAACATTCTCAGTTCTCAAGAAAACAAAGCAAAGCCGCAAGCCGAAAAGGGCCCAGGGTTTAGGGTTTAGGGTTTCGGGGTTTCGGGGTTCGGGGTTTCGGGGTTTCGGGGTTTCGGGGTTTCGGCGTTTCGGGGTTTCGGGTTTCGGGGTTTCGGGTTTTCATCTCCAGGCCACAGCTCCATGCTGATGTTGCCGGAAATGTCAACCTTTCCGCTCATCAGCGTTTGTAGGGCATCCTCTGCACAAACCAGGGAAGAGACAGGGAGGTTGCGGGCGTAGGGGTGTACCCTAAACCCTAAACCCTAAACCCTAAACCCTAAACCCTAAACCCTAAACCCTAAACCCCAAACCCTAAACCCTAAACCCCAAACCCCAAACCCTAAGCGCACATTTTAGGCTTAAAGGCAGAATTCAGCAACAATTCCCAGAGCCCCTTGGGACTCTACCTTGGATCCCCTAAGGTTGGACTTGGGCTTCGAGACCCTAAACCCTAAACCCTAAACCCTAAACCCAAACCCTAAACCCTAAACCCTAAACCCTAAACCCTAAACCCTAAACCCCAAACCCTATCATTTTGAAAGACAGGGCGACTTTCTGGGGTACAACCTTAGGCTTGGAGTACGAACTTTGGGGACCAAATGAACCCTAAAATTGGGACCGTACGCCCTATACCACTCTAATCCCCATTAGGGCTTATGAACCACCAACAAACCCTAAATCCTACACCCTAAAGCCCTTTTGGGGGATTCATGTGGTCCTTAAGAAATTTGGATCCCTTCACACGCGCCCATGAAATAACGAAGCAACGTGCTGTCCTTCAAAACTGCAAACTGCTCACCGCTGCCGTCTGGATGCTCCCCACCTGCTCAGAGTAGGGTTTAGGTTTTAGGGTTTTAGAGTTTTAGGGTTTTAGCTTTTAGGGTTTCGCGCTTCAACCTCAAGCCATCCAGCAACTATGGCTAAACGCAATGGAAGGCCCATCCCGTGAAGAAACTCGCGGCACAGCACTTCCCAACCATCATCGCCTGTCCATTGGTGTGAAACAAACATAGCCTTGTCTGCTGACCAAGCTGTCAGGGGTTTAGGTTTAGAGTTCAGGGTTCAGGGTTCAGGGTTTAGGGTTCAGGGTTTAGGGTTTAGGGTTTAGGGTTTAGGGTTTAGGGTTTAGGGTTTAGGGTTTAGGGGGCTTCTCATCGCTTGCAGTTCATGGTACGGAGCTTAGGTAGGGCTTGTGTAACCTGATTGAAAGAATAAAACTGTTGTCTGAGTGCCCCCAAGCGGCATTGCCCTGACTCTCATCGTACTCAACCAGCACGCCATCCCTGTGAAGCTGCTCATACGACTGTACCTCTCCTTGGTAGCCCAGTAACCATCATCTTATAATAAGGCTAGCCGTTTTTTGATCGGTTTCTTTAGAAGGGAACCCAGAACCAAAAAAGGGCAAAGGGCACCACTGGGCTAGCAAGTCTCTCATGCACAGCAAGGTCTCCACTGGAACCACATACCTGGGCAATGGCATCAGGGTGCTTTCGGGTGTAGGCCTAGGATTGTAGTTCTGAAGCCTCCGACAGCAACAGGCGTGCAATCCTACAAAGCCTATGCGCCCTATACACCCCGACCCATGTACCGTCTCCCAAACCTGGAAACAGCCCCTTCGTTCGGCCAGCGCGCATCGTGAATTGCCGTAGCTGGCTCGACACCAGCTGCGGGGCATTTTGGAGATGGTCCGCATGGACTTTTAGAGGGCTCGGTGTCGCGCACGCACATGCGGACAGCATGGCGCTTGCCAGGAATGAGAATGGTGATTTTTTGGGGTGACCTATATGGAGTCATACATACAGATATATGTATATATGTATATGTATACATATATATATATATATACATGTATATACATACATACAAAAAAGTACTTCTTTCGTGCCATTTGATATAGGAGGGTAGTACTGGCACTCGCTCGGGCTACTGTATTACTGCAGTTTCCACTGAACGACCCTGTCTCTGGCACTGGCAAGCCGAATTGGCCTGGCCCAGAACTGGGCCAGAACTGCGATTTCGGGTGTGCCTGTTTGGTCGCAGTGTTGAGGTACGTATCACTAGGATTGAAAGTTTAGGGTTTAGGACCTAGGGTTTAGGGTTTAAAGTCTTGAAACCTGAAAAGGTTCCGCACCATCTCCAGTATCTTCTCTTCCAGAAGATTAGGAATCTGGCCCTGTAACTGCCCCTGCTGAAGCACAAAACAACAACAACTTTGCAGGGAACCGAAGACCATCGGCTACGGTTCCTAAGCCCTAAACCCTAAACCCTAAACCCTAAACCCTAAACCCTAAACCCTAAACCCTAAACCCTAAACCCTAAACCCTAAACCCTAAACCCTAAACCCTAACCCTAAACCCTAAACCCTAAACCTTAAACCCTAAATGTAAAGTGTCCGCAGATCGCTCTCCTCGTCGCTCCAATGCCTGTTGTTTGCACTACAGTGGCCTAAATCGTCGCAACGCTCGTCGCAACACTCGTCCGGCACACAAGAATGAGCTCGTATTCTCGACCCCTCGCCCCGTCCAATACCCTAGACCCTAAAACCCTAAAACCCGAAAACCCGAAAACCCCAAGACCCTAAAACCCTAAAACCCTAAAACCCCTAGACCCTAAGACCCTAAGACCCTAAAACCCCTAAACACCCTAACCCTAAGACCCTAAACCCTAACCACCCTCAATATCCAGGACCCTGAACCAAGCTTTGGTGTGGGGCACGGCCGAGCACTTTTTTTCCGCCATTCTGCCGGTCCCTGACGGCAGCCACCGTGGCGCGGAAGTCCGCGACTTAGAGGCACAAGGGCTGTTTAGGGTTTAGGGTTTAGGGTTTAGGGTTTAGGGTTTAGGGTTTAGGGTTTAGGGTTCAGGATCTAGGGGCAAAAGCCTTGCACAAAAAACGTATGCACACCCTACGCCCGAAGTCCTGGATGCCCTGACACCTTTCAGAGGCGTTGCAATTAAGTTTATAAGGGTGTGGGGTTTAGGGTTTAGGGACTCCTGCCCTAAATCACAGACGTGTAGGTGGTTTCGAAATTCTCATTAACCATGGTATGCTTCCCAGATCTTTTACTGAAAGACACCCCGGAACCCGAAACCCCTCAGAATACCGCAAGTATGGCGTACAATTCCCTTCCTGGTTTAGGCTTTGGGATTTAACTAGGGTTTCTAGGGTTCATGTAGTTGACTCGAAGCCCGAAACCTTGAACCTGGGAATCCTCAACCTTGAGCCCGCTACCCGAAAAGCACCCCCACCTGAACCCTTGGTTGGCGTTCCTTTCCTTGGGCTGCCTTCATGGGTGGCTTGCATAACGCCCAAACCCTAAACCCTAAACCCTAAACCCTAAACCCTAAACCCTAAACCCTAAACCCTAAACCCTAAACCCTCTACACGCATGAGGAGCCGACCGCCAATGCCCTGCCGGAGAGCCAACTTTGCACCTCGAAGCTTGACTCTGGCGCAACTTCAAGGTGTTGTTAAGGCTAAACCCTTTCCTAAAATCCTCTTCAATCCCTAAGAGCCCCTGACCTTCAGGACTTAGGGTTTGGGGTTTGGGGGTTTCGGGGTCCTCGAGGGGCAAAGGTGAGGGGTTTAGGGGTTAGGGTTTAGGGTTTAGGGTTTAGGGTTTAGGGTTTAGGGTTTAGGGCGATCTGGGGCTCAGGGTTCGGGGGATCTAAGAGTTCAGACTCCCTGAGGGTTCATGTGCCTAACTACCTTTAAGAACCCAAAACCTACCCTTTTGTGTAGGTTCTTCTGAAAAAAAACTCCTTGTAGGATTCTTAACCCTCAAAAGAAGTAGGACTTGGGTTCTCAAGGTAGGGACTGCTTGGGCCTTAAAGTACTTCCTATATAGGGCTTTTGGGGCCCAAGCATATAAGAGTAAGGTGCATGGACATAGGGTTTCCTCACAAGCCCAGCAACCATCTTACATCAAGGGCTTTTTGTTGGTTGGTTACCTTAGAAGGCAACCTTGAACCAAGAAAAGTGTAAAGCGCGCCACCCTAAACTCGAAGCCCTAAACCCTAAACCCTAAACCCTAAACCCTAAACCCTAAACCCTAAACCCTAAACCCTAAACCCTAAACCCTAAACCCTAAACCCCTACACCAAGTACAGAGACTGATGGCATCTCAGACTTCAGCGGCGTGTGTTTTGATGAGGGAAAAGCCTAAACCCTAAACCCTAAAACCCTTAAAGCCTTAAGACCCTTTAAACCTTAAGTTGCAGCTTCGGACTAAGCTTCCCAAACGCTAAACCCTAAACCCTACACCCTAAACCCTAAATCCTAAACCCTAAACCCTAAACCCTAAACCCTAAACCCTAAACCCTAAACCTTTGGCTTCACATGCGCAGCCCCGCCACCTCGGCCGAGGCGGCGTCGCCCTCCCCTGCACCTCGCCGTGGCGCTTGCCAGGCGGCCTCATAGAGGGTCGTAGGGTTGCAGGGATATAGGATGCAAAGGCTAAGATACCCTAAACCCTAAACCCTAAACCCTGAACCCTAAACCCTAAACCCTAAACCCTAAACCCTAAGAGCTAAACCCTAAACCCTGAACCCTAAAGCTCAAAACCTAAACCCTATACTCTCAGCCCTAAACCCTAAACCGCCAAGACCACTCATAGAGTTGACGCAAAGCACTCTCCTTACGCCCACTGCGACAGCGCAAACGCCTTGAGGACCCAAATGAACCCTAAGGGTTTAGGGTTTAGGGTTTCGGGTTTAGGGTTTAGGGTTCCGGCAACAAGTGTACACTTTCAGTTCTATAGGAGATAATAGTCTGCCAAAAAGTGCACAGCATACCCATTCAGCTACTAAGACTACTGTCCCTATTCCTGTTGGACCTGCTTTGGTAGGGGCCCTCTTTCATGTCAAGTGGGCCGGGCTATTCAGGACAGCCAAATCCTAAACCCTAAACCCCAAACCCCAAACCCTAAACCCTAAACCCCAAACCCCAAACCCTAAACCCCAAACAAGCGCACAGCCCCCGAGATGCAACTCCTGCCGGCAACTCCATTTACCTACCGTCTCCTGGTACTGAACCCTCAGGGTCCATGTGCTTAAATCGAGTAGGGTTTAGGGTTTAGGTTTTAGGGTTTAGGTTTTAGGGTTTAGGGTCTAGGGTTTAGGGTACCTAAGTAGGGAATACTTGGGCCTTAAAATGCTTCCTATATAGGGCCCAAGTGCATAAGAACAAGGCGTGGACCCTTGGGAGAAGCCTTAGACCCCGTAGCTCAGTCGCTACCACCCTTGGGTGTATTCCCCTCAGGGCTACGGCCACAAAGCCGCCCAACACACCCAAAGCCCCAGAGCTCTAAAGCCCACCTCTAGCCTCACTAAACCTATTCGAACCGGGTTTCGGGTTGAGAGTTCAGGGTTCAGGGTTTCGGGTTCAGGGGAGAGTTGTAGGTGAACGAAGTTCCCAGGGCAGAGTAACCGGCCAGGGCACGCCGGCCAAGACACGCAGCCGCCCGGGGCTCGCGAAGTGGCTTCTGGCTCCTCGTGCGACCAGGATCCTCCTGACCGTCAGCCCCGGATTATCATGGGCTTCTCATCCTTTCTCTAGGTTCCCCCTTTAAACAACCTCAATTAACTTAAACTTGATTATCCCTAAATGGCCTTAAGGGGGGTGGGGGGGGGAACCTAGGGGAACCTAGGGGGGTGAGAGGGGTAGTAGGGGAACCCATGAGATTCGGGCCGCTTAAAAGGCTTGGAACTTTCTGATCCGAGGTTTGAGATTGCCAGCCCCTGAAAGTTATGTCCCTGAAACTTGACATTGAACCCCTCGGCCCCGAACCCCAAACCCTAAACTCAGCCTTTGCAAATGCCCGCCTGCACATTCACTTATGTTAGTCCTTCAGCACTTGAAGCCGACGTTCGGTTTAGAGTTTATGGGATAGAGGGCCTGTATGGAACAGCAAGGGTACCCTTTTTGGTTTGAAGAGGATTACAAGGGAACCTAACCCCCCCCAAAAAAAAACATAAGGGTTTACTCTGGGGCCGAGGCTTGTAGGGCTCATGATGACTCGGGCAAATGATGACTTGGGTTTATAGTGCTCGTAAGGTTTTGAGCGGAGGGTTACGGTAGTTTAGGGTTCTGAACCCAAATCCTGACCCTGAACCCGAAACCCTAAAGCCCTAAACCCTCTGGCGTGTACGAAGACCAACTCTGTCTCTCTCTCCCCTAAACCCTAAACCCTAAACCCTAAACTCAAGGCCCTAAACCCTAAAGCTCCCGGGCTCATTTCGTCCCAAGAGTCGCCAGCCATGGGCGTTGCACTTCAAAGACAGCTCCAACAACCATCCTGGGTTAGGGCTTGGGGTTTGGGGTTTGGGGTTTGGGGTTTAGGGTTTAGGGTTTAGGGTTTAGGGTTTAGGGTTTAGGGTTTAGGGTTTAGGGTTTAGGGTTTAGGGTTTAGGGTTGACCCCAAGGGTGCCCTGTTAAGTCTAAAGGTGCCTAAACCCTAAAAAAGGGGAATATGGCCTTCT